CCGAGGACCCGGGAAACGACTCTGGATCGGCGGAGGAGGTCCAGCCCCGATCCTGAGGAGTGAGGACCCCTATCCAGCTGTGGGGTTGGACAAGGGTGGACCAGCGGACAATGCTGTAGCATTTGGAAGGGATTCGCCTCCCCCAGAAACAGGGATTAATGGTGTTTCCCCTGATGTTACGATTATTAATAACATCCACGAATCCAAACCGATTGGTGGCGGCCAGAATAGCATCGGTAAAGTGGAAGGGCCGAGGGAAGTTCCCAACCCAACTTCTAGTCAGAAAGAGCTTCCTTCGCCCTCCCCTTCCGAGAGTGCGACCCATGGGATCAGGCCTCCGATGGAGCCAAGTCCATGGCTGGTACCCCCCTGGCCACCGCCTACCAGTCAGAATCCTGACAACCCAAAACTGGAAACGGACGTAGTAGTTTGCCGCATTAAATCACCATCTACTTTCAGTGTAAGCATATGGATGGGCGACAAGCCCATTCGGGCAGTAGTAGACACGGCTGCAGAGGTGACTATTATATCCGATAGAATCTATCGAACACTTCACCCCGTTCCCCCAGTTGTCAAGACTGTTGTTTTGCATACTGCTGGTAGGAATATGAACATGACTGGAATGATTGTGGGACCGGTTGATTTGATTTTGGGTGGCAGCAAATTCAGTGAACATGTTTATGTTGCCCCAATCGATGATGATATGTTGTTAGGAGCAGACCTCCTGCAGAAACATCGTGCATACATCAATATACCGGACTCCTTATTAACCTTTCAGGATGAGTGTATTAAAATGACTTGTGGCGAAGATGCGAATACGTCTCGAGTATTCCTTGCGAAGTCAGTAACCATTCCCCCGATGACGGTCAAACGGGTGCGATGCACTCTCGATTCATTACATATGATGGACCAATTCATTGTGGAGCCGGTTGTAGCCTTGGCCGGGTTTGTCCCGCGTACTCTACATGGTGGGAAGGGTTCAATACAGTTGTATGCTCTTAATGCAACTAATGTGTTTCTAAAATGGAAAAAAGGGAAACTCATTGGTGAAGCTCTCGGAGCCTCTGTTATGGAACACACCGAGTCAGATATTCCAGCCCAGAAGATCCGTCAAGTAGATTTGATAGGGGATGCACCAATTCCCTTCCATCTGCAGGATCTTTGGGAACGTTCTTCCGAGTCTTTAATCCCAGAAGAACAGGGAATATTGAAGGGCTTGTTGATAGAATTTGAATGTGTCTTCGCCAGAGACGAATTTGATTTGGGTAATTTTACGACAATTACTCATTCAATTGATACAGGCGGGGCTGCCCCCATTAAGCAGAGAATGAGGCGCACTCCCATGAACTTTGCACAGGAGGAACGAGCATGCCTGAATAAAATGCTGTCAGCTGAAGTTATCCGACCTTCAATGTCACCATGGGCATCAGCCCCTGTACTGATTAGGAAGCGAGATGGAAGCGTCCGATGGTGTATAGACTATCGTAGACTAAATAATGTTACGAAAAAGGACGTCTACCCCCTTCCTTGCATTGAAGAGTGTTTGGATACTCTAGCCGAGAATACATGGTTTTCGAAACTGGATGCCAACTCGGCTTATTGGCAGATTAATCTCAGGGAAGAAGACCGTGAGAAGACAGCATTCATCACCAAATATGGGCTATATGAGTTTGTTCGTATGGGTTTTGGTCTATGCAACGCCCCAGCTACATTCTCTAGAGCAATGAACCTCATCCTTAGGGGATTGACTTGGGACATTGCATTAGCCTTCTTGGATGATGTAGTAGTCCTTGGCACCTCGTTTTCCGATCACGTCAACAATATCAGGAAGGTGTTGGAGCGTTTTAGGGACTTTAAGCTCAAGTTAAAGCCAAAGAAATGTGCCCTCTTCCAACGCCGGGTAGAGTTTCTGGGCAGAGAGGTGGATGGAAGTGGTCTACACCTTAAGGAAGAACACATACAAGCCGTAGTGGGCTGGCCGACCCCTAAATGTACTAGAGAGGTGGAGCAGCTCCTCGGTCTTGTGAATTACCATCGAATCTTCCTTAAAGACTATGCCCAAGTAGTAGGACCATTATATGGTCTTACGGGCAAGAATAAGTTCCATTGGGAAGAAAAGCATCAAGATGCTTTCAATCGAGTCAAAAGACTAATGACCACCGCCCCTGTACTTGCACTACCCAACTCTGTGGATCCGTTCATTCTGGATACCGATGCGTCAGGGATCGCCATTGGTGCTGTGCTTTCTCAAGTTCAGGAGGGACAAGAACGAACTATTTCATATAGTAGTTTTTCCTTATCCCCCGAACAGCGACGTTACTGTGTTACCAGACGGGAGCTCCTGGCAGTGTTAAGGTTTACCCGGCAGTATAGACACTATCTGCTGGGCAAGCCATTCACGGTACGTACGGACCATGGAAGTTTGACGTGGTTAATGAACTTCAAGGAGCCACAAGGGCAGTTAGCTCGTTGGCTCGAAGAATTGGGTCAATATGACATGGCAGTCAAACACCGACCCGGCAAGAAACACCAGAATGCAGATGCATTATCTCGGATACCCGACGGTGAATTCCTCTGTGAAAATTACCGATTGGGTACCGATCCTGAAAGTTTGCCTTGTGGTGGTTGTTCATACTGCATGAATGCTCATAAGAACTGGGCAAAATTCACAGATACTGTGGACGATGTAATCCGACTTGCACAGAGAAATAAGGTCTCGGAAGTAGTAACTCTTACCCCCAGAGATGATGAGGACCTCCTGATCACTCATTTAGATATTGGTCATATGGATGGCCCCTTCTCTGTTAAGGTCAATGGGGTGACAATTGACAATACCGATCTCCGGCCTGACGTCGATCTCACCTCGATGGAAGTTCTCCGGAAAGAACAGGAGTCCGACGATCAATTGACACCCCTGCGTCAGTGGTTGGTTAGTAAAGAGGAACCAGATGAGGGTATCATTCTTTTATGGGACCCCGCTGGAAAAAACCTCTGGATAAACCGAGAGCTATTTTTCATCAAGGAGGGTGTCATCTGGAGGAAAAAAGATGATGACACCCAGCTAGTTGTGCCACAGTCCTTGCGCGAGGAGGTGATGAAGTTGAATCATGACCTTCCCTCAGCCGCGCATGCTGGTGTGAATCGTACGACGAGTAAACTGAAGTCCAAATACTTCTGGTATGGAATGTCTAGGGACATCCAGGAGTACATCAGAAGGTGTGCCACCTGCAACCTAAATAAGAAGGCGGTGAGGTATGGGAAGCACCCCATGATAAACTATCATGCGGGAGCCCCCATGGAGCGAGTCCATCTGGATTTCATGGGCCCACTGCCTAAAACCTCACAAGGGAATGAGTACATCCTGATGATGGTGGACCAGTTTACTAAGTGGGTCGAATGTGTCCCCTTGCCCTCCCAGACGGCTGAGGTAACTGCCCACGCTGCGGTAAGTGAATTTTTCTGTCGGTTTGGATACCCATTTCAGATATTCACGGATCAGGGCAGGAACTTTCAGAGTAAGCTATTTGTAAACATGTGTAAGTTGTTACACATACACAAGGCTAGGACTACCCCGTACCGACCCTCAGCTAATGGCCAAGTTGAACGCTTCAATCGGACATTAATGGATGCGGTCAGATGTTACATTGGGAAGTCCCAGAACCAGTGGGATCGTAATCTCGCTCAAATAGCTGGGGCCATTCGCTCTACCGTTAATCGAAGTACTGGATTCACGCCCAATCAATTGATGTTGGGGCGTGAAACCAATCAGCCAGCAGAGTTAGTTTTTCCCCTTCCCCCATCTGTCCCTGACCGCTCACTTGATGAATATTCAGCGAAGCTGGTAGAAAGTATTCATAATGCACATAATGCTGCGAGAGCTACCCTCAGGTCGACGCAGCGACGGATGAAGCGGGATTATGACGTAAAGGTATATGTACGTCAGTTTAAGGAGGGTGATAGGGTGTACCTTTTGGATTTGGCGACCCCCAAGGGAAAATGCAGGAAACTGCAATCTCCCTGGAGGGGTCCAGCTTTGATCGTACAAAGATACACACCCTATGTATACCGAGTGGTATACCGTAACAAGGCCCTGACCTTAAACCATGATCAGTTGAAGAAGTGCTCTGATCATAGTGAACTTCCCAATCCCAACTGGAGAAAGGAAAAATACTGTTATTGCAGGACGCCTGACGATGGTTCCCTTATGATTCAGTGTGATGGGTGCGATGAATGGTTCCATGGTGAGTGTGTTGGTGTTACCCCGGCAGAGGGAATGAGTATGGATAAGTATTTTTGTCCTTTCTGCAAGTGTAGGTAACCCATTTCCTTTCTCCTTTGCAGTTATGGATCCTGACGACGCGATGGAAGTACATGCCGGCGAGGCATTGGAGGAAGTTCCGGAGGAAGTTGGGGGGGGAGACCCGGTAATCGAGGGGGGAGACGACCCGTTAAGAGCAAGGATGGGGCCAATCCCACCCTCAGGGTCAGCCCGTAAGAGAACTTGGCTCCGTAAACTCCGACGGTTGAAGGGCAAGCTCCGTGCTGGGACGAGGGATTCGCCTCAGTCGGCTTCGGCCACTGGAGGAGTTCCCCTTGCCCCAGCCGGAGCTTCGGGTATACATACTCGTCCCAAGAGGGGGTTTGGTAGGGGGCGTGGGGCTTTTGTCAATTGCCCACCCACTACAGTAGGAAGGGGGAGAGGGTTTGTTGATAGAGGACTTGGTAGGGGGCTTGGTAGGGGGAGGAACCCACCTCCACCTCCAGGGGGTATGGGTAGGAGGCTTGGTGCTCCTCCTTTGAGGAGCCCACCTCCTCCCGGGACGAGGGCAGGGTTTGAGGCTCGAGAGAACCCACCCATGCTGGGGGGTAGAGGGAGAGGCATGCTCCAATATATGAGCCGGATCATGGCTTCCAGCCCTCCGAATGCCATCCCACTGTCCGGGTTCGATTCTCATTTTCACCCGGATAGGTGTGGATGGTATGGGGGCAGGCGTCGGCAGTCTAACATCTTGCCTGAGCACCCGATAGGGTTGGTTGGGGGGGTTATGAACTTTTGTGACCCCACTACTTACAGGGAACCCAACTTCCTTAGTCGGGTGCTAGCCTTACAGTCACCGGTTGGGGGTAGTGGCTGGAAGCTAGCCCTTGGAATTCATCCCAAGCATGCAACAACATACACGGAAGAAGATTGGGGTACATTTGTCGCCCTGTTGCAGAACCCCCTCGTAGTTGGGATGAGTGAAGTCGGTTTCGACTTCTCTGTCCCTTCCCAACGGTGGCCTGACCAGGAGGCGCTGTTCCTTCGCCTTCTAGGTCAGGGCACCCAGGGGAGGGTCCTCATCTTGCACTTACGAGGGGGGGCACACGCAGACACAAGCTATGCGGTGCACAAGTTGAGCCGGAGGCTACTCACCAGACAATGCTCCCCACTTCAGAGGATCCATTTACACTGTTATAACTCTGATGAAGTACAGGTGAAAGCCTGGGCCATAGCCTTCCCCCATTGTTATTTTGGTTTTACGGGGTTGGCCCGGCATTTCAATGCATCACAGGTCAGGGGGTTGCGGGCGGTGGCCGCAGATCGCGTGGTCTTGGAGACCGATTCTCCCCATCTCCCCCCTCATCCAGGAATGGGTGATAATTCACCAGACTTCCTGGGTGATGTGGGGGCGATAGTCGCAGATCTGCGGGGGCTGCCCCTAGCTGACCTGATGAGACAGACAGTAAGGAATGGGCAAGCGCTGTATGGCATATTTGGCTAAATAAGCTCATTTATTTCCCTTTTTTCCGCAGTTTTACCTTTCCCACTAGGGGGATTAGCTCCGAGTCTCTCGGATCCTCTCTAGTTTTGGGATTGGGATATCTGCGGATAAATGATTCGGGATATAAATGAATAATATAAGTTAGTTAAGTAAATAAGTTAAGTAATTGAGTAAATAAGCAATATTATATTAATATATTAAGTTAGTTATGTTAAAATAAGCAAGTCAGTCAGTACTGAAGAGAGCTATATAAGAACTAGCTATTATTGCTTTATTATTGATTACTATATCAATACACTTTACATGAATACATAATACAAGTAGTATTGAGTAAAATGGATACATTAGACATTATACATATAAATAATGACAAGGTATAATACAAGTATAGTATTGTTCAATTCATGGATCTGAGATGCACGGTCCTAAGTGCTATCAGGATCTATGATCTATATTCCTTTTTCCTAACAGATGGTAATGTTATAAAATTAGTTAGAAAAATGAAAAGTGGAATTTCGTTTTCCAGTCATAGATGTCTGGATAGTCAAATGCAGACAGGCGATCTGTTTGTGAAAGTTATGGGATTTTTTAGTGCCTTTAATTTGGAACATGATAAATATAGAGTATAATTTAATCTATTCAGTTGGGAGGAATATGGGGAATTATTAATATGGACCGCACGCATGTGCGTGCGTTGGATGGCGTTCCATACTTGATTAGCACGTACATGCGTGCGTCCTATATAAGCAGGTTATCCGCACACCGTCGGGGCAGAATTACCAGTAACCAGATAACAGAAGTATAGACTACGCATCGGAGTGCACTACAAGCAACGGAGATCATCACAGCAACCAGCAAAGGACAGCATCGACGGATTCTGACATATAGTGACGACTCTGGTGAGTAGATTTTACTTTAGATTATTAAAAAAGAGTAAAAATAAAAGAAAGAATTACCAAGGATTTAAACGCTTACCGGTAACAGTAATAGCCAGCGAGATTCATGTCAACTTTCTCTGATGTACTTAAATGTATATTGTTGTGCACCACAGTTTTAAAAAGGTTTCATGTGTTGGAAATAGAAAGTATTTAAAATATATTTTGTTAGTTACATTTTTTAATAGATTAGTGATACATAACATTATCTGAGTAGCAAACCAATTTGATTTGCCTATTTTGGACTCTCCTTTATGCATGAACTGATGTTGATACCAAAGGTGGCTATTGTTCACAATGGCACAATATTTCATGATTTTAGTGGTCTTGATACCCCTTGCCTTGGAATGATTCCTCCAATTTCTATCAAAGTTGTCACTCTTTGCTTTCTTTTCTTTCTTTATTTTCTGTATTCAGGAGCGACACATGATTGACCAAGATGAGTTATGAAACGTTTCCCATGGTTCCTCACAACGAGGCAGCATTCAACCAAGCTAATCTCCCTCCCAGATACCAGACACCACCTCCATGGATTCCACCTAAAGAAGTAAGTCAATGAATGCATCCTTAAATCCTGTCCTCTTTTAAGGATACTATTTTAGAAAAACTTGTTTATTCTAATATGGGAGAAGTCCTTCAAATTTTGTAACCGTATTATGAAAGCAAAATATTTAGATTCAGAATTGTGAATGATAAAAGCTATAGCTTCAATTTTTTCCAGCAAATAATTCCACCAATGATATATTAAAATACATTCATATTCTGCATATCTTCAGTACTTTGTAGCAGAAAAAAAATGAACCAGTCTTAGCTCTGTAAGTTCATAATGAACTTGAAAAAAATCTCACTTCTTCATAAAACAGTTATACAACCCATAACATTACTGATATATCTTTTTCTTCACAGAGGGTCGGGCATCCAGACTACGACAACAACCTGTCCAAGTTTCTCCTCCGCTCTGTCAAATTCAGAAGATCAAAATCAAATGAGCAGTTAGGATTCAGTATACGAGGTGGTGCTGACTACGGCTGCCGAATCTACATTTCTGGGGTACGTTGAAGTCTATATCTATAGCTAGAGTGCCCATGTATGCCCAGCACCCTGGCTGCCACAAAAAGCTGCCACAGGTTTTTACGCGTAAATGAATGTCAGCTGCGCGCAACAAAGGACTTGCACGTATTCAATGAGCTCTGTGTTATAAGATACAGAAATGTGAAGCTTATTACACTTTGCATCATTAAAAAAAACTCTTCACGCTTGTTTTTCTGTAAACTGTTGAAAGCTCATGTCCAATTACAAATTAATCAATTCAATTAATTAAATTAAAAATTAAATTTCCTTTTCCTAGTGGTTGAAATTATTTGTCAGTAGGCTGTTGTAAATACAATATTTTAGGAAAGACAGCCCGTCAATGGGTTATAACTGTTGCTTTAACTTGTTTTTCATGCGAGGTCTTTTAATTTTATGTGGATTTCTCAGATAATCTCTGATTCCATGAACATCAGAGCACCAATGAGCTGTAACTATTTTGTACTCTTTTATTTTTCAGGTTATCCCTGATTCTGTGGCCTTCAGAGTTGGTATGAAACCAGGAGATCTTATCCTCAGTATCAATAGCGTTGACTTCTCCAACATCACATATGATGAGGTGAGTAAATGGTTTACTGAGTACAAGAAGGGCTTTATTAAGAGCCACATTGTACATGTAGTTTGTGTGTATGTTTATTTCTTCAAAGAATCGATATCACAAATTATTTGCCATTGATATCAATCACAACTATGTCCATGAGAGATCGGAGACTGCAAAATTGCGATTGATTGGAGGATTTATTTTGATCAATCGCAACTCTTTATAAGACGGGCTTAGATTTGGTTGATTTACCAGTCAATGTGTGAACCGGTTTCTCAGGTAGCGAAATTTGTCCCACTAGAAAATACTACAGCTTACCCTCTTATCTTATGAGTGAGGGAATGTTTTAATTATGATGAGAATTGCTTAGTGAACTGACATGTAGGTCATAAAGTGAAGGCCATACTTTGCGATCCACTCACCTTTTATTGGATAAACACTGTAATGGTGTCAATTCCCCATGTGAACCCACTACTATGAGCCTTTCATTCTGATCAAAAAGAAGTGCTAAAAATGGTAGCCGTTTTCCAGATGCCATTGACCACATAAAATCCTGCACAGCAACCTCAAAGTCCTGCCTATCTTGTCTGGCTGGCAACCTAGAAAAATCTCATATTTATAATTATTTACTGAAAATGACCACCAAAAGTTGAATTCTGCAACATGAGCTATTGTGTAGGTCACCCAGCTGGCAACCAAAATTTAAGAGGGATTTGAATGAGCTGCCCTCTAAACAAAAAATAATACATGTTTGATGTTCAATGTAATACATATACATACACCTTTGCTTTGAAATGAATGTTATTTTAATGCATAAATGATAGGTTCTCAGTGTAACTTGTATTCAACATTCCTCTTTATTTACAGGCAATCAAGGTCTTGAAGAATCTAGATGAAATAGAGGCAAGACTGAAGTACTATCCTTATGGTGAGTGGCTGTCATTATCTAGGTTAATACTTAAAGGGAAATCCAACCCTGATAGCAAACTAATCTTGTCTAGAGGAAAGCAGAACAATCAGAGGAATAGACTGGTTAAAGTTTGAATAAAATCGGATAAAAAATGAGAAAGTTGTGAATTTTTGAAAGTTTTAATCACTATAGGTATGGGCTCTTCAAATTGGGTGTATCAAGTAATTTCCCGATATTCTGTTTATCTTATTTTTCTGCTTTCATACAAATGAACTTATTACAAGGGTTGGATTTCATTGGGGTCCATGCAGGCTGTGCCTTCTTCTCTCTTATATTCTACATGTATGATCAGATTCACTATTATGGAACATAGTATGAAATGAATATGGGCACAGTATCCATCCATAGATTAAAGGAACAGGTCAGGCATGTTTGTATTGTCCTTAGTGGTATTTGACTTTGTTCATGACTAAGAAAGAGTACTTCACTGGCATAATTGCTCAATTGCATCATCCTGGATATAATTGTAGCCCAATTTTTAAAACGCGAGTGAGCAGACTTCGACTGTTCAGAAGCCTGACGTGCAGTTCCCATATATATGTAATGTGTTCAAGCAAACACACGATTTGACAAGTTTAATACTGTAATACGAAACAACTGAAAACTATCCTAAATGAATTCGGTAAACCAACAAAGTTCAAGTTTCCAGAAAAAATTCTAAATTAGCAGTGTCCTCTTCAATTGTTACTCACTATGATTCCCTTTATTGTAAACTGGAGCAAGATTATTTTTTTTAAATAATTTAATGAAAGGTTCCCCCAATCCTTTTACTATACAACATTTATATATTCATCTTAACCAAATTAATCCCCCTCTTTCTTTCATTGTGTCTTCTTTTCTTCTTCTTCTTCAGGTTATTACAAGACATACGAGAGGACAGGGGAAGCCCCACCCATTGAGTGATGTGGAGAAACAAACCTTGCCTTTTTTTGTTATCCAAAGCTTTATATAAAACTGTGATGTAAACTTTATGACTATCACTGCTGAAATTATTTATCATATTTTACAGATTTGTTTAGGGTTTCATTAGTCTTGTTAGGATGTGTTTATATTGTTTATGTATGTAGAGGTGCTGTAATCTAGTGGACATTAACCTATTGCCTGCTGGCACCATGTAGCCCCTGTATTTAAGCCTATGGCAATATAATTCAGTAGTCAGGGGGTTAAGTCACCAGACTGGATCTAGTAGTACAGGTTTTGAATCCCTGCCACAGCACTACTGTTATTTGGCAAGACTGTAGCGAAAAAACATTTCACCTTTTGACCCCAGTGAGGTTACTGGTTACCTGGTAGGGTGAACAACAATTCTTGAATGTGTGAGCAGATATCGTTGAAGGAATTTCAGATCTCAAACATATGCAAGTATGCCTGCATCAAAGATGCATTGTCAAATGCAGTATAAGTCTTAAATTGTCAAAGGGATGAAATGTTGTATTCATATACAGTACTACGAGTCAAACTCCTGTTCGTTTGTGGTAGGGATATGGTAGTGATAGAGCTAAAGACAATACTGTATTAAATATATGTTAATGTTTTATATAAATATTAGAACAGCAACCATAATAATACTCTACAAAGAGATTCTATTTTTAACTGCACTTGTATATTGTGAATATCCTTTTGATACCCAAAGTTCCCAAACAAGTAATATAGTTTTTGTCCAATTTTGCAAAGGATCTGTAAAAATGTAACCATACACTGATCGTGACATAGGGGTAAAAAATTTGATTACATGTGAATTGACGGTGTTCTGAAACTTGCCATCGAGCTGTCATGAAACATGAACTTTAACCTTTATATTTCTTGGCAAAGTTCCTGATAATGACACTACTGATCGTGCCAAGACATGACATGGACCCACATCAGAGAAGAGGTGCCCTAAATCGTAGTAAGAGGAGGGAATATTTGATAGTCATGATATTATGAGATAAATTTATCTTTGCTCAGTTAAATATAACCGTTATAGGTGCATAAGGCATTTTTATACATTATTTAGAATTGAGAATTATAAATTATCCACTGCCTTAAATTTTTATATGTGTACATACATTGCCATCATGAATGTTTGATATATTTTGTATTGTCTTTTTATCTGTGTAAACGATATTAGATTTTACTCGACTTGATTTTTGACTTTACTTATATTTCTCTGTGGCATGTATTATTGATCCAAAAGTGGGAGAACATAACTTCTTTTATAGTCTTTTTATATAGGATTGCATTTGGCCATTTGGAGCAGATTACATAAATGTTATCACAAATGTGCTTTGTATAGTACTAATTGAAATGAAATGAAGTAGATATTAGCAACACAGGCTCTTTTCTATAGCTTTGATATTATATGTATTTATTGATAATTCATAGGTGCTACATGATTAATGTTTTGTACAATTTATCACCCGTTTTGTAAAACTCTTATTCTGATTGTCGATTCTTGGAAACACGGTTTTGATCAAAGTCATGGAAGTTTGTGGAGACATGTTTTTCTATGCGCATCTATATTGTTTTGGGAGAAATGAAATTCATTTCCCTTTTGCTGGACCTGAAATTAAGGACCTTCATGTCCTTGTGATGTTGGAGTTCATATCCTAAGGTCAAAGATCATTTTAGGTCAAATGTAAGTGTTTACCCACAAGACTTTCTTATGACTAGTAACTATGCATACTGGGGTACGTTGTTCAAAATTAAACCAAACTCGGGTCAGGGATGCTTTTTTCCAACATTCATGTAATTTGGTCACAGGTGGGCGAGGCACGATCTGGTTACCGTAAATCTCTGTGCATATTAAGACGCACCTTTTTCCTGCCGAAAAAAATTCAAAGTTGGGGGTGCGTCTAATACACAGGTACAAGAAAACAAACCAATTTGTTTTTGTTTTTGTAAGAGCCGATTTATGCCCCTCCACCTTGCAATGTCTCCCAACCCGGTCATCCATGGTGTGTTGACTCACCACTTGGAAACTAGAACAACACTACCTGTATGGCCGGATTTCTGTTTGGACAAAGAGGAAAATTTGTCTGTCATCTTTAGTTTTAAAAACGACGTTGTTACTATTATTTGTGACAAGTTCACAAGCACAAATCAGCGACTTACACAGGTGCGTCTTATACACAGTGATTTACGGTATTTCCTTAAGTTTATTTTGTTGCATTGCATCTTTCAAAGTATGAAATTAAACCACCTTGATTTAGTTCTGAAATAATTCTCAGATGTTACAATCATTTCTAAGTTGATGCAGCAATTTAGATTATCTCAGTACTATTAAATATTGTTGAAACATTGGAAGAAGGGCAGCAGTTTCTTTTATATTCTCATGAAAACTGCCATTGAAAGATGAAAAAATATACCAGTATGTGTTTTCATTATTTTGAGCTATAATGTAGAGCTTCACTTTGAATGTAAGCATTGTTTTGTAACATTTCATTCACAATAGAATGAGGAACAAGGCACAAGAACAATGAATAAAACCGAACAGTTGTAGTTATGTGCAGTCTTTCAATGTATGAATAAAATCATGTATGCATCCATGTTTGTTTTGCAGACAACCAACAACTTGTTATGTCAACTATGTCTAAGTTTTGTGACTTTTGTCCTCGTAAATCTCCCTTTATGATGTGGTAAATGATATAAAGAGTATTAACTATGAATAATAATAATAAGATGAATTTTTAAAGTGCCTAATACTATGTTTCTAGGCGCCATGATGCTGTTGTCCTTGCAGCCATTAGGTAAAGCATAGTACTTCTACCCAATAGAGAAATAGGACAACGGCATCAAAATTACAACACTTCATACCAGTGCATGTATTACATAATATAAGATGCTGATATACCGGTAGTATGAACTACAAAATATAAGCATAGATATATATTTTTTGTTAAAGAGAGAATTGCTTAGAGGGATTTAAATAAGTGTGTTTTTAAAATGGTTTAAGTTGTGTAGGGATTGAGCACTGTGGATATGGATGGGGAGGGAGGCTGTTCCAAAGTTAGAGAGCGGCAACATGTCACAGTGGCGTACGCAGGATTTTTTCAAGGGGGGGGTTTTAAAATCGGGTCCAAAATTTCGTAACGACTCAGGAAAATTTGAAAATCGAGCCGGCCAAAAAGTCGCTCAGTGGGGGGGGGGGGGGGGGGGGGGGGGGGGGGGGGGGTAAGCGGCCACTTTTTTTTTTTTTTTTAGGAGTCCAAAAAAAATCGCAACGACTCAGCCAGCCGAAAAGTCGCTCAGTGAGGGGGGGGGGGGGGGGGGGTAAGCGGACACTTTTTTTTTTTTTTTTAGGAGTCCAAAAAAAATCGCAACGTCTCAGCCAGCCGAAAAGTCGCTCAGTGGGAGGGGGGGGGGGGGGGGGGGGGGGGGGGGGGGTAAGAGGACACTTTTTTTTTTTTTTTTGTCTCGAAATTTGAAAATTTGACATTTTGCTCCGTTGGGGGGGGGGGGGGTAAGGTCACCTTTCTTAGGTCAGCCATGGGGGTAATTTTTTTTTTTTTTCTTATTTTTTTATTTTTAATAATTTAAAAAAAAAAAAAAAAAAATCCAAAGGGGGGGGGGGGGGGGGGGTTTAGGGATTTTTTAGGGGGGTTTACACACTTAAAAATACCAAAGGGGGGGGTTTAACCCCCTAAACACCCCCCTGCGTACGCGCCTGACATGTCACCATGCATATTTATGGGGGGGGGGACCAGATATACATTGGAGGTGGGAAGAAATGGAAGCCCAGTACATCTTCTTAGGTCTTATAAACAGGAGTAAATCTGAAGTCTTATTTTTTTTTAACAATAGTGTCGGTTCCATATTATAATAGTTCCCTTTCCATTTGTCTCCATAGCTCCTCTCTCACACACACTCTTTACTCTTGCTTCTTTTCTTTCTTTCATTTCATTTATTTTGCTGTCCCTCCTCATGTATTCCCATTTTTTTTCTTCATTTATACTCCCTCTCCCTCTGTTTGTCTCTGTCTATATCTCTCTCTATGTTTGTCTCCGTCTGTCTGTCTCTCTCTCTCTGTCTGTCTGTCTCTCTGTCTGTCTCTCTCTGTTTGTCTTTGTCTGTCTCTCTCTCTCCGTTTGTCTCCGTCTGTCTCTCTCTCTCTGTCTGTCTGTCTCTCTGTCTGTCTCTCTCTGTTTGTCTTTGTCTGTCTCTCTCTCTCTCTCTCTCTCTCTCTCACTCTGTGTGTGCAAAATAACCTTATTACACAATCTTTCTCATCCAGACATCCTTGTTTCATCTTCTAACGTTATTAGACTACCAATAAGATTCCAATAAATCCTCCACAAGCATTCAAATAAGTGGAGGCAAACCAAGGTGGGTTTAAGTTTTTATTTACATAGTGATCACATACACACAAGTCATCTTCAATTCATTATTATTTGTTTTCTTCAAAAATATTCAAATGCAGTACTCTCTAGAACATCAGTTAGCTAACAACATGAACGATAGAGGGGGTTTACAATGAATTGGTCTGTTTGGAGCCAGAAGGGTGTTAACTCATGCTTTTAATAACACAGAGTTAACAGCCTTCTGGTTCTGAACAGATGAATTGTGTCTTCATTAGAGCAATCATTACACATCAGTACAAGTGTATATCCTAAAACATCACAGCACAGGGTTTGCAGAAATCACCAATCCTGCATTATATATATAATTTTTCTTTGCAATTAGATGCACATGTATGATGAATTTCATCAGTACATTTAATCTTTTAAACACGATACAACTTGATCAAAATCACAACACAGTTTGGTGCCCCAACGTGTGAGACAAAAACACAAACCCTCTTTGATGTCAAAAAGAATAAACCCACAAAACAAAACGAGATTACGGGAATGAAGTATTTATGAACTCGGTACAAAATGGCTGAGATTTGTGAGGTAAGGGATTCATTTGCAAAGATGAAACAGCATTCTGAGCTTCCGGCATTAATCTTGAATTCTGTCTGCTTCTTTCAGTGTTGAAATTATTGTGGCGGTGAATTATAAAATGGGAAAACATTCGTCTTGATTAATGTAATATGAGTCAACAGAGAATACTATTTTTACTGGAAATGAACAACATCTTGTATGAAGCTTATTGGGCCTCTTAAAGTTTACTAAACTGTGAAATATGAAATCACATGATTTAATATTCTTATATATTGAGAAAAATAGAGAGAAATGAGAATGGTATCCAAGAATCCAAATTTTCAGAGAGCAAAACAATGAAATGGGTTGATAAGAGACAAACTAAGAGGCAGAAAAATGGTATATTTATGAGAAAAAAAATCAATGCTTTTCTGTTTCATTAATAGTTTAATCTCGTCATACAATTCACCGCTGTACAAATACATACTTCTATCATCAAAGTACATGTAAACCCTTTTATTCAAGCAAACTCATAATCTGTCAAACTAAATCAAAAGATTTAGCTGAAATGCTATTGATCCAGACTACTTGGATTAATCAATAAATCAGAAGTCAATAGCTTTGTGTTATATCAATGCAATATATTAATTCTTGAAAAAAAATGTAAATACATAGAAGATATGATATGCTGAGAGCCAGTAGGTCATTGACCCTTAAACTTTCACACAGAGGTAACGTCCTTGTACATGTAGGTGATGATATGCACCATGCGATTAAAGTTCACCGGAACTTTACTTATCCTAATTTTGACTCATACAATGCCAATCAAAATACCTTTTATTTTCCTGCACTCAAAATGTTCCTCCTAATATTCATGTGCGTGAAATTAACCTTCAATACAGGTGTTGCTATGTTTTACAAAAAGGCACAGGGACAATATAAAGCAGAAAAGGAAATGATACAACCAAAAAATAAGCAATAATTTAATAAATACACTAAAATGATTGAATAATAATTGGGACTTCCCAGCATTTAGATGTATCATGGGCAAAATGGGACTATTAAAGTATGGAAGACCAGTGTTGCCGCATTAATGTAAACATTGGGCATTTTTTGTTTTTATTTAAGTATCAGCTACATCCTTTCTTTCCTACCAGAAACAGAGACCAGTGTTTAACTCATTAAAGGGGTCCAGCTGTAGACATTATAATTGAAACGGTCAAAATGTCTTCTTTTTGCCCCCACAGACAAACCTTCATCCTTGACTAAATGTTGCTTCTACATGAAGATAACTTTCTTCTCTGCAGTAATATCATTTACGATATGTGCTCTAAAGTTTAATACGTACCAGTATGCGTATTCTCAGATATATCTGGATATGACTGAATGGATTTAGCACTATAACGAATTTACATAAAGGATCTATTCCAAATTTTGTAAACAGACACCTAACAAATGCGTTAAAAAGAGTGATTTTGTAACATTGGCAGTTCTGACATGATCATAACAACACCCAAGAAGCATACAACTTTAATAAGGAAATGGTATTCACAAACTGAGATACAGTCAAACCTGCTTTAGTGACCACCTGTCTACAAAGACCACATTTTTTTGTTTTCCTGGAAAATGGTTTATTATTGAAATATGTACTAAAGGAACCTGTCTACAAAGACCACTTTTGTGTTTTTCTTGGGTGGTCGCTATAGACAGGTTTGACTGTAGTAGCAACATCAACCTTGGTCAGAGCACATTCCATAAATCAGTATGCACAACATCCTACTTTTGTCACCACACCTCAGGAACTAGCGGTGGAATATTAACAGTACAGGTAGTAGTATGAACAAAATACCAAACAAACTTGGTAGTTTTGGACCACAACGCTATGTTGTAGTAATTACACATAGCTGCAGGATTAAAATCCACATCTCAGATGCATGCTAATTCCACTTACCCAAGCACATTCAGATCCTACAGATCACAATTTACGATATCAGAAAAGAATTCTCCATATTACAAAATATGCATCCAGCACAAATACGGTGGCATTTGTTTTTCTTCAATGCAGCAGGATGTATTTCGTTGAATGGAATATTTTCTAGGAAAACAAGCATCCCATCTTTAAATTGGCAACTTGAGTTCACCCTAAATCTTCTCATACAAATTGGCAAATTGTTAGCATCAATATGAATATTGAATATATATGTTACATTTCCAATGTAGGAGAACAATGCTTGTAGAAGCAGTAAGAAATACTTAGTGTAGCCAATTTGAAGAGCAAAAGCTGAAACCATTTCTCTTACAATACAGGCTGACTGACGGCGTTTCCAAAATAAGCATTTTAGTCCTATAAAATAACCCTTGACTTTTTGAACAAGCAGCAAACGGCATTTGAGTTTGGCTGGCTGGCTCTATGTAACAACACATGGTCGGAAGACCTCCATTTGAAATACAGGTGCATCACGTCATTAAACAGGAATCAATAACAGTACACTAGTTACACACTCATACTATATTATGTTTGATTCCCATCTTACATGTGGATAACACTCTGAATACATGACATCATATACATACAATCTATTCTTTTCTTCTTTTTGTTTAATTACAGATTCATGTACAATTCAGAGAGTCAACTTTTAAACCCTTCTGAAAAAGTTTTAATACAATTAACATATCTTACAGTTATTGACAAACAACAAGCGATAAAATTGTGCATCTTTTCACACACACAGAACTCTAATTCTCTTACCGGTACTCGTTTATCAAATCCCACCTTCCACATCGCTTCCAGACTCAATGCCTATTCCGGATTTTAACTAACCTTATCTCTGTTAGTGATTTGGGGCACAAGGTATTAGCACCCTTTAAATCAACATCACGCTCTACATTAATCTATTTGACAGTACAATCTACATGTACTCGCTACATTGAAAAACACAACATGAAAAATCATACGTTTCGAGAATTCAATAGAACATTGGTAGTATAAAATATATCTATGCTCAATAGAAAACATCCAAGTAAATGAAGAATGGTTTGCGTTTTGTTTTCAAAATCATGTTTCATAATCAATGGGGATTGTATCGTGCTAGAAATAAAGATGTAAATAAAATAGAAATCTAAATCAAAAGGTGAACACACAATTTACAACATCACAGGATAAAAACAAATGTGTAGACATCACATAATCATAAACATTTTCAAGAAAATGTACAAGGGCGGGCCTGATAAGAATGTCTGAAATCTCCCGATATATCAGATGTTGTCAAATGATGATGTCGGAACACAGAGTCTGAATTAATCCTCAAACAAAGCCACTGGTTTTTCAATTCAACTTCTAATGTTTCATATGTACCCTGTTAAAAGTGCTTTGTGGTGCTTTGTAATGCTTTGCTCTGTAAGTTATGACAAACTGATGCTATGTGAGGTGTACAGTAACATAATATTCTGTATTAAATGGGTACCGGTAGGAAGGAATTCCTTTGAATGTTGTGAGCATCGAAATCGGCAGCCTAGCATAGCCGGGTAATGTTGGAGCGCCTTGAGGACCTTGCAAGGTCGATACGTGCGCTATATAAGAATCCAATATTATTATTATTTTAGTAGCTTTCATACATGACCCTTGACCTATATTTGGCATTCTTTTTTCCTCCACAATGAACAATATGATCTCTGCATGGATTTGAGGCATATGAACATCAATCGGTTTATGTGATAGGTCACCTCGATGAGGAAGTGAAAAAATAGAAAAGAGGATCAAAAGAAGTATGCAGGAAGAAGAAATCGGATCCCTCGCGAAGATGGCTGGCTCAAAACACCGGCTCAAAATGCCCAAGGAGACACTAGGATAAGACATGAGGGCATCTGGTCTCACCCCAGCGGATGATGAAGACCGGACAGCTTGGAGAAGGGCAATAAAGGAAATGAAACGCCCTAAAGCGTGGTGTAGGAAAAACGGACGCTCAACAATGATGGTGATGATGAGTGTTCTCATGACCAAACACAAAACGCATACAGCAAGTCAAAAATAAGCTGAGCTCTACTGAACACAAACTCAATATAATCATACTGACTATGAGATGGATATCACTTTGAGTCTTGTGATGTATTGAGGTTAATAAAGGGGTAAACACTGGACTGATGACAACCTCCAGTAAGTGCGTGGCTTGTCTCGTTATGATGTCAAAATCATTCGAGAGAAAGCAGAACATCATCGGGATGACATCATCACTACTGCATTCTGGAAGCACCTCCGGAACAAGGGGGCAATTTCAGAGTGGGATTCCAATAAGAAGGTGAAAGATCATGATTTTTTTTATGTCTGCCTACCTCCAAATTTGAAATAACTAGAAGGAGGCCAATACATTCTTAAATTTTCTTGTTTGGCTCTGACAGGATCAACAAAATACAAAGAAACAAATTGTTGTGATTTCTGTAGTGATCATGAAATAAAACACACCGCCAATGAGGACAATGTTGTACACACACGAAAACCAGAATTAACAATGAATTTCTTTTACATATAAGATGGAACAGATTTGAAGAACATTCTCACGTCTACACACAGAGCATTATCAGGGGGGAAATGATCACAAAATGCTGATACATACACAAACCAGCCATTGCTTGCTGTCTGTCTGTCCATGCTATTGGCTTTATCCAGGTAGCGTTCACTTTGCAAAATTGACAGGGATTTCTACCGTCTCCACACCTACAGCTGCACAGGAGCGATCTCAAACGGACACTTATCAGACTTTGGTTTTGCACATTTTGCATTGAGTTCATCATATGATTTTCCTTGGAGCAAGCACACGAGGACGACGGTCATGTTATCACACCCGAGCCCTCCCATCTGACAGTCTGGAGCAAGACATCTTGTCATCAAGTCTTCACATATCTGTTTGAGATGGATAGAATAAATAATAACAAGAATAAGAAAGAGAAAACATTTTAAACTTAAGATCAACGGTCAAGACGCACAAGTGCAAAACAAAATTACATAAAAGCATTGCACATAAATATACAGTAAAACATCAGTAGGATAGAAGTCTTAAAAAACATACCACAGTTAATTGCAAGACAAATCTAATTCTATTTTTGAGCATTTCAACTGATCTGTTATTTCTAAGCTCTCCAGGGAGAGCATCACACAGCAAAGCCCAGCATGAGCAAATGTTCTCCTCCCCCTCCCCTCCCCCATTCTATATCCAGCTTAGAAAGTAGATAAAACAAGTAATCCACAGTTTTGAGAGAGCATATACAAACTCACAATTTTTTAAACAATCTAATCTAGAAGGTATTGATAAGAGCACTTACAAAGCGCTTGACAAAATTCCTCCCAAGTCCCATATTATTTGATACTGATATATATTTCACTGAAGGGGACATATATGTTTATCTCCAGAAATTTCAATTCTGTCAAATTTTCCATAAAAATGAAAAGTGGTTCATAATGAAGGGAACCCTTTTAACTGATTGATTGTGTGGTGCTCTTTACAAATGCAAATATTTCCTAACTTTTTTTTCCTTTATTGATCTAGTTAAACACTCACTTATCTTTCTCTCATGTTACTGCTTTATAAAGTGGGTATCAGGGTGGATTCAGTATTAATGTGAGTGGTTTCTGCAGAAAACATGTATATTTGTAGGAGGCAAGTAATATTCATTATTTCTATAACATCAAGTCAACTTATGGCTTACCTTTTCTGGATCCATTTTATTCCCTATCCTGCTTCGTACAAAGTCCACTACTTCCTGATTTGTGAGCACATCCCAGATACCATCACATGCTAATAATAAGAACTCTGAATCGGGGAGGATTTCTGTCTCTGTTACATCAGGTACAGCTGTAAAGAGAGATAATATACTATTAGACCAATCACAGACTAGATACCATCACATGCTAATAATAAGAACTCTGAATCTGGGATGATTTCTGTCTCTGTTACATCAGGTACAGCTGTAAAGAGAGATAATATACTATTAGACCAAACACAGACTAGAAACCATCACATGCTAATACTAAGAACTCTGAATCGGGGATGATTTCTCTCTCTGTTACATCAGGTACAGCTGTAAAGAGAGATAGAATAATATTAGACCAATCACAGACTAGATACCATCACATGCTAATAATAAGAACTCTGAATCTGAGATGATTTCTGTCTCTGTTACATCAGGTACAGCTGTAAAAACAGAGAAAAAAAATAATACCACACAAAAATGATCACTGTAAATAAATTTTCAGGACTGTGACTACCAGGTACTTTTATTTGTTTTTAACAATAAAGATTACTTTAACAAATAATAATTCAATCACTAAAATTAATAAGAAAAGAAGGGATAAACTGTCAAGATATTCCAACCCAGTTAATTAAAGGATCAGATGGTAAACCGGGAGCACCAGGAGTGTCAAATCTGACAGACATGAGCGCTAGACAAGAACCCACTATTATTATTATTATTATTAATTGAGAGCATGACAAGCCCTTAGCGCTAATCATTTCTGTCCACACCATTTCAAAAATCACTATGCTCTTGAAAGTAAGCATCTTTAATAAAGCAATGTTTCTTCTAATGAAGCACAGGAAATGTGCACATCGGTAAGGAGCAAACATAGGGAAAAACATAATATCACATGTTCATAGTCCTCATAGGATATATATTCACATATTCTTCAGTTATCCCAAGTACATATACCCACCATGTTTCACCATGTATGAATGATGCAACATATTGTCATAGATAATGACAGGTATTCCTGCATAATCACATGATCATAGAAGAGGCCTAGTCTAATCATATTAGACATTGTGCACTCATGCACATTTCCATCATGCCGTTTAATAACAGCAGATGATATCCATCAAATGCCATCATTGATGTAGTAAAAGAGAATAACAGAATCTACATGGCATTTTCATTTTAACAGTTATAGACAACCAAAGTAGAATGCTCATATAAAAAGAAAGGACAATGTCTTGGTGTTTTGGGGCATTAGCAAATGTCAAGAGCGATAATGTTCAACTGATTCCTAAGTGAACTGTATGTTTAGAATCAAGTGGTAAAGCTGAGGAAAACACATAAATGTCCTTATTTCATAATTGTTAACGTTATGTTTAGTAAAATATGTCACTTAAAGATAACCACTTGAAACTTGAAACAAAGCAACCCAATTCAAAGATATTACTTGGTTGTCATCCTAATACTAAACTGTTACAATATTTTATCAACTGCTTCATGAGGTTCACATGAAAAAATAGTGTTGCATGAATACATAGGTTATACACAATCATCATGATCATCCTACTTTTTCCAGGATCTTTTAAATCATCTTAACATATTAAAGAGAGTGGCAGGGACCAACATTGTTAAATTGGTAACGGTATGGAGGAGTTCCTTGAATGCTGTGAAAACCAAAAATGGCAGCCTAGAAGAGCTGAGGAGTTAATTGTAGCACCCTGTGGATATGTGCACAATACAAATATCCAATATTATAACTATTAACATTATTATTTTGAGTTTCAAGTTTTTTGAAAGTCTATATTCATATATGCAATTGATATAATTTTTAACAACACCACTTCTTTAGCAGAGGAAATGCTTGAAAAGGAAATGGACCTTGATTACAGATCTTCCTTCAAAAGACTATAGTTTTTACATACCAGTATTATCTATATCAAGATTCAACCACAGGAAATCAAAATACCAGTATCTCTCACTTTAATGCAGTATCATGCTCATAAATGCAAATGCCATTGTTGCGGTTTACCTAGCTATATGTCAACCAACCTTTAGTCTTAAAGGTATAGACCAGTTTTGGAAACGCCAAAAAAAAATGAAATGGAAGCTCTCATTACCAATCATGTGAAAGAATATGTTTTGACTAATACGCGATGATACAAATTCTGCCAGGAAACCACCTACAGGTACTAATTGATATATTTGGTAAATTATCATATCGATCCGGCCTGGATAGATATCTTGAATGCACTTGAACATTGAAAATTTGGGCATATATTTCTGATTTTTTTTTTTGCGAATTTAGATTGAACTATTGCTATCTTAACCTTTGAAGGCAATATTTAAACAATATTGAATGGATATCTCAAACCCAAAACCCTTGAACCGCAATTTTACCACTACCGGTCTATATCTTTAAAGATAAAGACCAGTTAAGGTCATGCGATTGCATTTTGAAAGAAACGTTGTGAAATCGATCAGAAAAGGTTTATCATCTAACATACATGTAGATGTACTGCAAGGTTCTGGAATCATCAAAATGATAAGAAATTTGGCCCAGTCTTCATAAAGTTACAAGCACTGTACACAGAAAGATGTATCGATGAAACACGTGTGTTTTTATCTCTCACATAATAGATAAACTAATTTACCAAATATATCAATTAGTAAGCGGTTTCCCGGCAATTTTTTTTGTATTTTTTGTATTATCATATATTATTCAAAACATATTCTTTCACATGATTGGTAATAAGAGCTTCTGTCCATTTTTTGAAATTGGGGCGTTTCCAATACTGGTCTTTACCTTTAATATATATGTACATGTACATACCTGTCACTATCTGCTCCTCAGGTCCTTTACTCAGGTTTCGTTTGAAGACAAAATCTCCTAATGCTCTTGATAATGCAAGGTTTCCTAAACAAAACACAAACACATGGATTACTTTAGAGAAAACACATATATGGGCCATGTCTTATAAACAGTTACGATTAATCACAACTTATTTGCCATTCACATTAATCGTAACTATGTACATTATTGAGATAGGAGACTGCAAACTTGCGATTGATTAGAGGACTTGCGATTGATTCGGATCAATAGCAGCTCTTTATAAGATGGGGCCCTGGTATCACAGTTATATCTTCATTAAAATCCACAAATAACGGTAGAGAGCACATTTATTTCAGAATTAAGTAGTTTTCATCATTTTTCTTTTTCTAATATGGTTCTTGATCATTTGCTTGTACCCAACTAAATGTGAGGTATACTGTCATATTGTAGCCATCAATCCCAACTCCTGGTCTGATCGTGTCAACTAGTTTGAAAAAGTTCTTTAACCAGGTTCTGAACCCATTTGCAAGTTGTTCAGGAAAGCAGGAAACTACGTCTGACAGCAATAAATGTCGGTTCTTCTCCATTGAGGATTTATGGTTAGTTTTGTTACATTGTGACACCTATTAAAGACGATATTCCAACCAAACCAGGAAAGGTTCAAAAAGTTTTTTTGGTCATTTTTAATTTTTTTAATTTACTGATTTATCCATATATTCTATTTATTTATTTTTTCTTTCTGGGGGGGGGGGGGGGTGGGGGGGGGGGGGGCTCCTTGGGGAATTTTTGCATTCATTTTCTACATGTGCCTCATGAACTTTTTTTTGTGGGGGGGGGGGGGGGAGGAGAAATATCTCTCTAAAACCGCTACTGAGCCAAACATGCTCACAAATATTTACAAAAAATGCAACTTTCAGGGTGATAAAGAGGATTTAGGAGGGGGTCACAGTGCCCTCCCTCAGCCCCAATCTCCTTTATCACTGCAGGTCATGAACTCACCATTTACTCTATTGAATTCTACCCATCCTCCAGCTGCTATTATCCTCTTACTCTCGTTCTCATTGCTTGGTTTATGGTCAAATGATAGTGGCTTTGCATGCCCACTGATACTCATTACACCACGCGAGTCACCTACGTTACCCTGTCAAGATAAAATACATCAACATCAATAATTCATTTCTAAAGTGTTCTATGTACATATTTGGAATAAACATGTTACCAAAGTTTTAAAAGAATACTATAGTTTATTGAACTATTAAAATTTCAGTTCTTATCAGAATTGATTCTCTTCCACAAGAGAATCTTATTTATTATGATTACTAAGGTATACAAAATACGGTCAAACCTGCTTTAGCGACCACCTGTATAGAAAGACCACTGTCTACAAAGACCGCATCTTTTGGTTTACCTTGAAAATGGTTTCTGATTGAAACATGTACTAAAGGAACCTGTACATGAAGACCACTTTTCTTGTCTCCCTTGGGTTGGTCTTTATAGGCAGGTTTCACTGTATAATTATATCTCCTATGACAAAATTCTTTGAAAACTTGAATACCAAATCTAAGCCATTTGAGAGATGCAGTAGGAATACCTTTGTACGGGTAGCACTTAATTAAGCACCACATTTATGAAGTATCAACTTTTCATTTGAATAAAGTGCTACAGCTCCAAAGATTTTTAAGCCAGTGTGATTAATTTATTCAATATTAACCCCTCAACTTATTATCATTTAATACTACAGTGAAACCTGTCTAAAGACCACTCAAAGGAGAAAGGAAAAGTGGTCTTGATAGGCAGGTGGTCTTTATGTACAGGTGCCTATAGTTCATATTTCAACGAGAAACCATTTTCAAGGGAAACAAACAAATGTGGTCTTTGTAGACAGGTGGTCACTAAAGCAGGTTTGACTAAACTTATATGCACATGACAGGAATATAAAGAGAATACTTACACAATAAATTTTATTATTTTTCATCACAGTAATTAGAGCTGTGGTACCGGCTAGTTCGTCTTTCATCGCTTCATCTGTAGAAATGAATCAATAAGAAAAGGCAATAGTTAGAACTAAAAAGTATTTCTACAGTCCCACTCATTGTAAATCTTGTTCTCATATGCCGTGGTAAAGACTGCCATGGAAAAATAAAATCACGTACAGGTAAGTAGTAACCCTGGCAACTGAACTGCAGATAATTCAGGTTGGAAAAAAGAAATGAAAGCACTATCACTGATTACATGTATATTATTTACATTTTGGTTAATAATAAAGTGGAAAAGGTGAATGCTGCAAAGCATTAATACTTCCTTCCTGGTAATTCTTTTCTTTTCAAACAAACAAGAGTAATTTTTAAATATTTTTTACTCAAATATGAATTTAGAGAGAGATCAGCCCCCCACAAAAAGAAATATATATGTTAGGATGCAATTTCATCAGACAAAACAGGCAATAAAGGAAAAATTATCAGACTTTGAAGAAAGGCAAATTTTAAAAAAAAAACCTCATGACTCTCAAAGTGCTATTATTAAACAAACTCTGGTAAAAACAAGTTGAGAAATAAAAGGGAACTTCTTTCCTTTCATTTTCATTAGCTTTAGCTAGACAGTAACAATGCATAATATGAGCACCCATTTCAAAGAAGTGTGTTATTTATAGATTATGGTTGGCTGTGTTTTTGCTTCAGGCAGCATTATGTACAAAAGACAGCTTGTTTGTGGAATGTTGTTCATATCACAATAGGTAGGCCCTGTCTTACAAAAAGTTGATATTAATCAGAACTGTTTTGCGATTGTATTCAATTGCAAGTATGTACAAAAGAGATAGGAGATTGCAAACTCGCGATTGATTGGAGGACTTGCGATTGATTTGGATCAATCGCAACTCTTTGTAAGACAGTACTCTTAATGTTGCAGTAATACACTTGAGAATTTAAAAAAAAGATTGTTAACAAAATTCAATTACCGGAAGAGAATAAAATAGCCATATAGATAAAAATAGTGCCAAGAAAATAAACCCTTTATATTGATGTCAAGTGATGAAGGGGTATATACCGGTACTACATGGCATAATAAAAAGATCTGTCCATAAGAGAGGACCCGATGACACTTGACATTTACTAGACTGATGATAGCCAGCCAAGATGGATCAATGGCATAATATATATTTCAAGGGGAAATTCCCTTGTTTTCTAGTGAGCTCCTTGCTCTGGAATACCATGAATCTTTTTGATCAGATAGTAATCCCCATGTAATCTCTCTCATGAATCATTCTCCATAGATCCATTCTCTCATCGCAATGGATCATGGGGCCCCATTTACACTGACAAAAAAACATTTGAAAAATCACACTACTGGAAAATCCTGTAAATAAAACGTATATCGCTATGCTAATTCTGTTTTTGGTGGGGTTTTTCGGTGCGCAGCGAGGATGCATGACTTCTTCCTGCTCTCCACACAATTCAAATAGCACAGAAATAGGGAGATTGACATGATCGAAAAACAAAATAATTCCCCAGTGATTTTGAGAGCCTGCATTTACACTGCAAAAAAGAGCAAAGTTTTGGCCCGAGTTTCGAATAACCACACTCTAGAGATGGGTTTTCATCATGTTTATGTGTAGTTGCCTAGCAACTTCCAACAAAACTCCAGAATGTAAGAAAATCCCAGGATTTTTGCATGCAGTGTAAATGCCCCTATAGTAGGGATACAAAATATTTATGAAGTGATGCATGGTTTATTCGTCACAATACCGTATCTAAAGAATTTCATATCGTAGTCACGCCGACATGGTAATTTGTACGTAAGACTGGGGTACCAAGAGAGGTAGAATGTTGCCATTAGATGTATTTACTTACTATCAAGGCCTACACAGGTAATCAGGACAAATGTATCTGAATTGTGCATACAAAAATAGTGATTCACCTTCTGATCTTGTAAAAGATAATCTCCATTTCTGGTACCATTACCGAGATTGACAGAGTTTTTCAATACATACATGTTCTCATTTTATTTAACTTGTATAAAAAATAAATCCCAAGTCACGTATACGTTCAATCCATGGTTTCTGATATGTTACTGTTCTGTTATTGATTTCCGGTGATTTTTAGAGCAAATATCTAAAAGCGACTTTCAATTTATTTGAGACTATAGGTCTTCTGAATGTGTACAAAACCAGCATACTCTAAATATAAGTGCGCCTACCCATTGTTTGCATTGACTAAGCCACACACATTAGATGGAGAAGGCTACATGAATCTCATGAAAAGGAATGACTCAAGAAGAAGAAAAAAGGCATAAGATCGCAAATAATTCCAGTTTCATGCAACAAATGTTGAGTGCGTAGCGTCCTTCCCTTGTGCATAATTTATATTTCAACCTCAGTCTGCAGCTTCTGTGTAATATAATATCACTCGAGAAAATCTGAATTTGACGGTTTATAATTTGTTATTATAAAACTCCTGGGCGTTCAATAATTGTATGATATTGGACACCATACAAGCAGGAGAGAAATGAGCTTTACTTACCTTTGAGCATATCTTCATCTATTTTTAAGAATGATTCTCTAATAGCTGTGCTGATTTCTCCTCTCTTGTACGTTGACTGGTTGGCTAGCTTACGGTGCAGATGTTGACCTGCGTACTGAGCTACTTTGGCTCCTATAAAACAGATAAAAAGACAAAAATATAACTTGATATAGATGAACAGGCCCCCAACTTGAAAAGAGTTGTGATTGATCTGAAACAATTGCAAATTTGCAGTCCCCTGTCTCTTACGTACATAGTTGCGACTGATATCGAATGGCAAATTAAGTTTTGATTGATCCCAACTGTTTATAAAACGGGGCCCTGATTGAATACATGAGTACAAGAGCATAAAAGTTATATCTTTTCATTTGGTGAAGTAAAACTGGTACATAGCGGTTTTTACTAGCTGCAGGGAGATAGCCAGTGGAATTGAGTTAAAACAGTGAAATATAGACATAATTCAATAAAAATTAGGCTCAAGGAATTTCAAAAAGATTTGTAGGAAAAAACGAGAAAATATAGAAGCAAAGTCCAATTAAACCTCAATTTATTTATAAAGATTCTCAAATTAGCTGTGACCAAAGATCATATAATTTTCAGAATGATGAATAATGAACTACTTATGGTATTTGACTAAATCAAAACAACATGACATGTAGCTCTTGTTTTAATCATATATTTACATGATAATAAAAACACAAACACCCAAAAGCGATGTAATAATGGTAACATCCTACAACAATATCATCTTTCATAAAAGTATTAGAAATGCATTAAAGATGTGAAAAAGTAGCCCATCAAAGTAATTTAAGTAATGTTTAAAAGTATTCAAGGGTAAATTGATCACAACCGACTCGGTTTCATCGCAGAGATGATCTCGGGCTATACTAACTTCCTGAGCGGAAGATGAAAGAAGACAGTCCCCAAGATCACAGAGGTTTTTTACTATCGCTATGAAGTGTCAATCTATCATTTGTCATGTGACCTCATTTAGACCAATTGTTTTGCACGGTTCTTGGTATGTTGGATGTAATCACGGATATCCTTCTATTTTCTCTCTCTCATTATAATCAATTTCTTACCTCCATGGCCATCATACACTGCAAAGAAAGCAGAATCCTTGTCATCATCGATAGCAAGGATCTGTGTGTGTGCATCTTCCATGTCTGGTTAATGATGTGTCAAGGGACAACAACTCACACAAAAGTCAATGAATGGGACAAAAAAGCAAAAGAAATTCATTTTTCCCAAGTATGTGTATGAACCGTACAGAAATATCTCCCTATTAAACCACATATGCACAATTAAATCACTTTCATTATTTTTTTTTCATCATAAGCTTTTTGAACAACAATTAATCTCTAAAATTAGACAATAACCCAAGGATAGATAGATGCTCAGGACAGAGTACAGATGTACATGCAGCCTTTCTGAACTACTTAGGACTCTCAATACTTCAAGAATAACATGGAAGTATACGGCTGGTCCTTGGTCAGGACTCAGTAGCCACTACACCACAAACCTTAACATCTCATTTTATTCAATGGTTGCAAATGAATAAAGCCCCATTCTAACAATAGACCCATATCCCCCGGTAGGCATACATGCACATGCAAATACAAAGGTCCCAGCCCCTCCCCTCAATTTTCCCTGACATCTACAATAAAAGCCAAACAATATCTTGTGTTAATGAAAATTTCAACGGAATAGGAATACTGTAGCTCAACAGTTCTAGTAGGAAATCATTCACAAAATTGGACACATAGGCCAACATGGATAACTGTTGAGCATTAATTGCCATCTGTACTATGTAAGCTACAAACTGTATAATGACTCTTTTCATGAATGAACATCAATCGTAGTACGTGAATGAATGCACATTTTTCTGATTTCATTCTTGTGGTTAGCTATCCCAGGGTTATTATGGCGACAAAACCAACCCTTATCAATATTGACTTTGACCCCATTTTGATGTGGCTGTAGACCTCTGTACTCACATTGATATTTATAAAACTTAAGAGGGTGGGTTTGTTCCAGCCAGCAGTAAGCATACCAGATAATATACAGAGTAGACCTTGACCTTTGGCAAACTACCAATTACTGACTGACTGCAGATTTGTTATCGAAGCTATGTTCGCTTGGGACCATCATAGTTTTAAAGTTTAAGTTTGCAAAACCTTGAAGTAGTACATAACGATCCCTTAACAAAGTGGCGTGGTTCATTCACTTGACTATCAATTGCCACTCTCCACTCTGGTGTAGATGGGTACCTGGCAATTGCTGGGGGAACGATAACTGCACGGCCCTCAGGAAGAACAGCATCGGTGCTGATGAGGCTTCCCTGGGTAAACATCTTTTTTAATATTTGTTATTCATATACAGAAACAACATGTATTCATGGTCAGCTGGGCAAGCAGTCATTTCAACTAAAAGCTGGCATAACCTTGAATTTGCAGCACATAACTTCAAGTGGGGCGAGTGAGGATCCCCCCCCCCCCCCTCCTCCCTCCTTTCCCCTGCTTGTACATATAACTTTTATGCTAACCTTAAGATCGCTCATAATTTATTTAAAAAAATTAAATTTTAATTAAGAACGAGTGGGTTTGCATGGTTCCTAATCAATAGATAACTTCAAAGTTTATTAAACCACAGGCTAAATTTAAATTTGATGATCTGTCATGTGAACCTAACTTGAGCTTCCTGATCTGATGAAAGGTCAAAGTCCATCTGTCTATCTCTTAGGCCTGTACCCTTGAAAGAAATATATGGATCATATCTTGGACTTTAAGATAATCGTACATCACAGCTATAAATGTACTAGAGTGTTCAATGTAAATATTGAATGTCCACATGCCATACTTGGGAGATTGGTCAAAGATATTTACCAATTTTTTAAAAAACTCTCCAAACCGTTGAAGTAAAACAATTTGAAATAATTTCATGTGATTTGTTTTCTGCTGCATTGAAGAATCAAGGCAATTCATGCATACATGTACCTGCAATGCATAACACATTGGCATGTACATGTGTATGTACCATTTGGCTTCCAAATCGCATACATTAGTTGTTGCTATGGTAGGACAAACATTGAGGCTTGCCCTACCTAACAACACTAATGCAATTTGCATTCTGACTACGGTTCTGAAATACAATTATTCCTAACAGGTGAATGAAACCGTTTGTATTGAGGCACTTACATGTATGTACTATGCTTTTGTTCACATTATTAAAGAAAATAGCCTATTAAACAACATATATACATACTCTATGAAGATGAGATCCAACTCTCTTGAAGTTTTTCCTGTTTACCTGTTACAGATATACTGGATCCACCTTCATGTACTGTATGTACACTACAATATGACAAAAACATTCATGTACATATGAAGCTGAAAAAAAGCTTCTATATAAAAAATCACTTTACCAAAAAAACAAACCATGAATGATGTAAAGGATACTGATTCGCCATCCCTGCATGCAGGAGGCACCGACCTTGCAAAGATGGTTCTCACATCCTGACGTCTCTTTGGCAGTGACAGGTTCGGATAACGTCTGACCCATCTCTACCTAAAATCATCACAAAATGAAGAAGAAGAAAAAAAAAGGATTTAGAAAACAAGATTTGACACAGTCGGTATGCCACAATAACGTTTGATCGATCTCTACCTATATACATATATAAACAGGATAAATGAAAGTAGGAATTAGAAAACAAGAGTAGAAGTGACTCAGTCAGTATGCCACAGTAACATCTGACCGACCTCTACCTATAAACAAAATATAATGAAAGTAGGCATTAGAAAAACAAGAGTACAGTACATGTGACACAGTGGGTATGTCACAATAGGAAGGAGGTGGAACTTGAATACAGGATGCGTACAGGACACATGTACATGTATGTACCGTACTCTGTCTGTATAAAGTATACTGTATACCAGGTTGCCTTCATGTACATGTACAATGTAGGCCAACACGTACAATATGTAAGGTCGCTACATGTACAGTACATGTATGTAATGGCCTACATGTATGTACCTGTAAAGTGTCACTGTAAACACAGTGAACAATTCTGGTAAAAGACAGAAAATATATAAACCTACTTTATTCAGTTGTTTACACATACATGTACACCTCCTCAAGAACATTTGCAAGTATGAGGCCTAGATGTACTATGCGTAAATAGTACTACAGTATAATAAAATGGAGTACATGTACACTTAAGATTGAAAGCGCACCGACCATGTGATGAAAAGCTGGCAGTCCGTATGTTTCCTACTTCTGTGATATCCTTTGAAGCACACATGAAAGATACATGTACGGAATATGTACAGTATGTCATTTATAGTTACATTGTACCATTGTTATTTCATTGTATGTTTTCCTACGATCACATTACAAATACAATGGTGCATGTATTATGTAAACTACAAATGACAGACATGTATCCTTCATGTGTGCATCAAAGAAAATCAAGGAAGTTGTAAAAACCTTTAGTCTATCCTACTGTAACATACACAATCAAAAAATTATTAAAAATAAATTATATACAAAAAATATATATACATGTAGGCCTATTTAGACAATTCAGTTTTTATTTGTGTACTGTGATGTACAGTGTACATATAGCCAAATGTAAGCTACTAAGCTTCATTGTAATGTTATAAATTCAACATGCCTATGTGCTTGATGAATTGATTTGTATGTAATTACTACAGAATAGGATATAGGAAACCATTAAAAACAGTCATAACAATGTGCACTGTACTCTACATGTAGTTTCTATTACCGTATACAGTTCAGAGAACAAGTTCTGTAGTTTGGATCAGCTGAGGACAATCTAGTATCTTTGAAACTAATTTGTAGTCTGGATGCAGATTAAATTTTTTATAAATTAAGAAACAAATTTCGCCAAGCCAAGATCTTTAGAAATTCTAGACTGCAACCATCTCCGACCTCATATTACTGTTACTGAGATACAGTCAAACCTGCTTTTGTGACCTGTATAGAAAGACCATCAGCCTATAAAGACCCCTTTTCTTGTCTCCCCTGTGTGGTCTTTATAGACAGGTTTCACTGTATATATATTTATTTATTTAGAGGCAAAAGCTGATGCTGGCAAATCTACCAACCTTCCACAGAAAAAAATCAAGAATCTCTCAAGGCAACATTAGGAATACACATTAATTTGTATTTGCATGCTTTTAGGCAGAAGTATTCAGAGGGGGGGGGGGGGGTCGAATCTAAGTTGTAGTGCTCGTAACATACAGATTGAAGACAACAAAAACAAAAGACACGATAGGAATAATTCCAACATCCAAATACACTGTACACATAAGAAAAGGTTCCGGCTACTGTATGTCCATATGGGTACCTCCACATACGATGTCATGGTACATTACCAGGTGCAGCATACATGTAGGTGTACCTTATAGTTTCTTTGTGAACGATACATGTAGGGCATCAATCACCGGGTTGTCGGCTAACACATGTACAGTAGGGTAAACAATCATCTATCCATCAATCATTACTACAGGACAGTAATATGATTACAATGGATACATGTATGTATGTAGATAGTAGGAAGTTCATACTCTAGAAATCATCTTTATATTTAAGGGAAACAAGACTCAGAACTTCAGAAGGCTCATGTAAACACGTCTGCTTTTTAGTAGACATTTTATTGCATTCAAATACAGACTCATGACAGCTCTAAAAGACATCTTACACGCCCCCCCCCCCCCCTCCCCGAAAAAGATAAATCTGTGCTTAGTGCAATTTATAACTTAGTGCTTCAGAAAAGTTGTAACAGTTTCTTGTATGAATGAATGTATGAATGAATGAATGTATGTTGTCAAGCGTAAAGCGAAATATGATGTAAACTTATACTGTAAAACAGCAGCTCCATTATAGGTTAATGAGAGAACTTGAAACAGAATCAAAGTTAAATTAATTTGTATGGCTGACTGTGACATTGCCAGTACAACACATTGATTACTGTACTGACGATGTACTGGCAAGCACAATATTTACTAGCTACATGTACTCAATATGCGCCTAATTGCCACGTTTCAACTGCAACGCTGAATGAGTAAGGCTGTTAGATTTAAATCTTTTTTCTCTCATGTCATGTACTTTTACTTCTCTCTGCCATTCTAATTAAATTCCACTTGACTAAATGAAGTGCAATCTTCATTTGCATGCTGCATTAACAACAAGTGAAATAATGAAGCTGCACATGTACAATGCATACATACCGGTACATGTAAATGTACATGTATATCAATTATTTACAAATTGTGTCGAAGACTGCTCGAAATGATCCTAATGTTAACACAGAGTAGCTTTCAAATTAATAATTCCCCAGGAGTCTACAAATTAGGAACATGCATGTACACTAGATCAATTACATTTGACAATTGGAAGCTTTCGAAATGTGCATTGCATGCAGATGTCATTGCACTCTCTGTCAATAACTACATGTATGTTGTACATGACATGTGTAAGAATAGTTTTCTATTTGGCTGAGGTTTATCATATTCAACATGAAAAATTGGCACATTGGCGGATTACCTCTATCCATACAATGGATGGAGGAAGGTTGTCATTACACTAGCCCCCCCCCCCCCCCGCCCCCCCCCTATTCTTTGAATTTCATGAAGTATGGATCAACAGTAACTGTGCCAAGTTATGATGTGTTTTTTTGATTGTCTTGCAATTCTTTTGATAGAAAATTAATCAGAATGCTTTTGTGTCTATTTTTCACCCCAATGAGTATTCGGGTTAGAAGTACACCAGGGGAGCGTTTCACAAAGCCTTTTTTCAATGACAAATGACAAAAATCAGTGACAAATCTGCTGATAATCAATCAGGAGCAAGGATTTCAGTAGCTTATAACCAAAACTGTCATTTGTCACTGATGATAAGTTTTGTGAAACGCCTCCCAAGGCATGACACTCTACATTTTGAAGTTTTGATGTTATACTGTACGTGGGACTCATGCATACCGAACGTAAAAAGTTAAATCCGGACCCCCTTCAAAAAACAGTTTCTGTGCAGCCCTGTGTACACATTAAATTTAAGGGAAGACTATATTTTTTCTTTTGAGTTTTCCCTTTTGCCTATTCTGCGCTGTTGCAATCTTATTCTAGATGAATTTATAGGGGAAGTTCACCCTGATATGAATTTTGTTTTAATAGAAGCAGAAAAAGTGAGAGAAACGTGGCAATGAAAGTTTTAGAAAAACCCGAGTTATGAATTTTTGAAGTTTTCGTCAGTGAAACACTATTTGATAACTCTGTGATGTATCTTGCGAGCTCCCCATTTGACCGTACTAAAAAATCCACAAATTTATATGTAACATTTAGAAATTGTTTAAATCATATTCATCCTATAAATATAATTAACGGTATAGCAAATATGTTTTTATACAACCTCTGTATGAAACAAATCTATTCGGTCATTAATAACTAAGAAAATAAAAGTTAATTAAGTTTTCTTTACAGAGCAAATTGGAGAAAAGCTCACAAGATATGTCACAGTGTTATCAATTTGTGTTTCACTGATGACAACTTCAAAAATTAAAAACTATCCTAATTTTAATAGGATATTGCTCAGACTTTCACTAATTTGTTTCTCTCATTTTTCTGTTTCTATTAAAACCAACTTCCCCTTTAAATGTACTTTCTACTTGTAAAGTTGGAGGTCACATGAAGCTACATAGGCGCATCTGGTCAATCAAAGTCTTACTCTTATGTCATTTAGGAAATACCAGCACCTTTTGGGGAAAGCCCCTCTCCTCTGATGACTAGCTAAACCTCTAAGTAAGGAAATTTGTCATTTAAAGCATGAAACAATTTTGCGTGTAGTTATTTTATTCTGGAAAAAATATGTAATGTCCCTCCCTACATGTATGAGATTGAGAAGCAATCTTGCTGCTGAATGAGGATGAATGTTTATGGGCTTGCTGTTGGCAGTAGTAGAGCAGCAGAGGGCAGCAAATAATAAATTTCACAATGACCTTTAATATTGGCTAAGGAGTACAAGGTTAAACTTATAACCTTGTAGATTGGACGAGTACCCAAACACAAGATACCAGTACTCATTATTACACACATGTAAAATGTGCATGTTAATGTATTCTTTACAAGATGAATTTATTCAAAACAAAATTAAATTACCAAAGAGTATACAAAACTCAGACTTTATACTTCTACCAGCAAATATAACTGAGGCACAAACTACAATGTTAGTTAGTACAGCATGCAACACTTCATCATGCACATATTCTGCTTGACTCAGTACTACTGTAAGTAGCGATTTAAATGTACGCATGATTAGTGAGCTTAATTAATTAATTCATCAAAATCTACATGTACATCCAAATGAATACTAATGCACAAAATTTTGTTTTTATAAGAACAAATATCCATACACTTCTAAAGTATCACTATGAACTACATTCTTCGTCTAAGACAGTACTAATTCTAGTCTGTTTCAAATGTAGTATATCATGGCATGCCATACTTGAATGAAAGCAAAACTGATTGTAACAAATCATTAAAGTCTCT